GTCAGATGGCAGAACTTATTCCGATTCTTCTTATTCTAAGAAAAGGAGCAGAGACAGGTGGAGAACAGAGGGTGGGCAGACTACTGAAAACCATCTGGGGGGGGAAGATAAGGGTCTGAAGTACTGAAAGATCTCTGTAACTGTTCTCAAGATTGCTTCAAGGGGCATCTTTGCCCTGCACATCCCTTTCACAAAGGCAGCTGGGGGGGGGGGCAAGTCAGCCTGGCCGGGTGGGGGCAGGATGCCCCCTGCAATGTTGGGTGAAATTTGGCGCCACTTATCCCATGAAGGACCCACCTCAATTTCTCAGGTTTGCAGATGTGCTCATGGGCCGCAAAGTGTTTGCAACGTGAGTTTGACTGCTGGCCCAGGAGTGGGAGAGCCAGGTTCAAATCCCCCCTCACCCATGGAGCTTAAAGGGTGACCTGGGGTGCTCACTGCCTCGTGGTTTAGTCTACCTCACAGAGCTGTTGTGAGGATGGGATGAGGAAGGGAGAGTAACGTAAACCACTCTTGAGAGCCTAACAGGAAAAATGGGGTGTCAATGTAATAACAAAGGAAAAGCAAATGAAACAATAAGTAAGATGGGGGTGATGTTCCTGCTCCTTATTCTGCACTAGGTTGAAAAGGTTACGCAAGCTGCTGGCCTTCAGCTGCCAAGTGCCCCAAACCCACCCCCTAGTCTGCAAGAAAGAGGACTCCCAAAAGTGTTCCCAGGGGTGTTGGAAGGGGGGGCTGGTGGGGCGGGCCGCCCCGGGTGACATCATCACGGAGATGCCATTCTGCGCCCCGCCTGCCGACTGGCAGCGCCTGCACTGTCACTTCTGCTCCTGGCTAGAGGAGGCAGGCAGGGGAGCCTACAAGCTGATTGGCTTTGCCGGCAAAGCCGCACAGCTCCCCTCTTCCCCCGACAGCTCGGGGTACCTGGGGGGCGCTGGCGCACCGTTGCCCCCACTCCTGAGTCCCGGCTGAAGGAGGCAGGCAGGAGGCAGGCTGGGAGTTGCTGGGCTTTGCCGGCAAAGCCGTGCACCCCCCCCCAGCTCGGGGTACTTGGGAGTCGCGGGGGGAGCCTCCGTCTCCAGCTGCCTTGGAACAGAGACAATGAAAAGCAACTGACCTAGGAGGTCTCACTCTCCCACTTCTGCCTGCCAAAACTACCACCAAGTTCTAGAACAGAACTAATTCAGTTACAAAGAAGAATGTGTGAGAAAACTGGAGAGCTCCCTGCACACAGCCAGAGAAAAGCCAGATCCACAAATGTGACAAGAGTAAGACGGGGAGGTACTGTTTGCCGATGCTGCTGCCCATGACAGCAGTAAAGTCTTATCCTGCCATGTCAGGACCTCCCCGTCTGAATTAGTAACTGAATTAGTTCTGTTCTAGACCTTGGTAGTTTTGTCAGGCAGAAGTGGGAGGGTGAGACCTCCTAGGACGGTTGCTTTTCATTGTCTCTGTTCCAGTTGCTTTAACACAGAGATTGAAGTTTTTCCAGAGGTGGCGAAAACTCAGGGCACCTTAAGAGCCGCTCTTGCCCTTCCGCAGGCTCGCTGTAGGCCTGGGGGTCGTGGGGGGGGAGAGCGCCGTTGCCCCACCCCCGTTGCCCACTCTCCCGGCTGGAGGCAGGCAGGGGAGACGGGTGTTATCCCTGTCTCCAGTTCAGCACCCCTTTACAAGGAAGTAAGAGCCACTGGTTTCAACAGGGCTCCCTCCCAGAGGACTGCACTTGGTCTGCTTTACTGTTAGGATATTTCCGTTCCACCTTAAAAAAGGGAGCAGGTTGTTGTGTCACAGCCTGCGTATTTCCTGCTCACAGGAAGTTACTCTTTTGTATATGCTTTCGTTTTCTCTCTGCGCCTGGACATCGAAGCAGGCAGTCATGTTTTTTCTTTGTTCTGACCAATGCTGAATAAAGTTGTAAATAATGCTCTCCTGAGTGCAACTTTCGTTGTGCGAACTCTGCTGAAAGAACGTGCACCAGCCTTGGAATGTGGCACGTTATTTCTGAGGCTTGTGTCGCTAATTGACTGATACTGCGTTACTACGGGAGATTGATGGATCGCAACGGAGACGGCGTGGGGGCATGATGGCCTTTGTCTCCCTGGCAGTATCCCAACAACAGGTTATGGGCCCAGCACGCTTCCGCTGCGCCACTCTGCGCAGTAAAGTTTTCACTAGCAATTAGAATAGGTGGCAATTTGCTTGAACCTATGGTTTTCAGGTTATCCAATTTCCCCCATCTCTTAATTGCACTTCTGTGCTGTATCCCATGCCTCCTCCAGCTAAATCTCTGCCCTGCTTGCCTCGTTTCTTTTATGTTGCTGCTGCTGATCATTTCTGGGCGCAACTTTCTCTCCTATCTGAGGGCATTTACTTGGAATAAAGTCTCTTTGCACTTCGTGGAGTCTGCTTCTGAGCTGGAGTGCCTGAGACTAAGGAACACAGGCTGGAATATCCTTTATTTACTTGTAAGATCGCTGATTGGCAAAACGCACTTGTGGGCACACTTTCTCCCTGGGCAGGAATTCCTGAGTCCTTAGGAATTCCCTAAGGGTTAAGGGAGGGCTTTGGCCTCCAACACGGGTGCACCCCCTGCGGGCCTCGTCTGGTCACACAACACTGCTGGGTACTTTCTTAGAACACCTCCTTTCTCTCCACCATCACTGATCCTTTCCCTCTCCCAGGTGAGTGCCTAAGTCGTGCAGAAGCTTCCTGGGCTTTGGGAAGGAGGCGCCAGGAGAACATTTAGGGGACTAGTCTAGTCCCCCTAGTCCACTGACCACACACCACTGGGCCAGGTGGGGGAGAAGCTTACACGAGGCAACTGGGTGGTGCCTTTCTGCTTACACCCCCCATGCCCCTTTAAAACTTTAAACCAAGGCAAGCTACTGGCTTTAAAAATCTCTTAAGAAAGGTCCTGGGAAATACTCTAGGTGGTGATTTTGAGGTGCCCAGTGACACTGACTGCAGGGGAAAGATTTTAACTGGAATTTTTGATAAGCAGGTAAATGTTCCTTGAAAAACCCCACCACATTTCTGCATTTGTTGTGGGGGCATCTGATTTTGATAGTGGAGCGGCTTAAGCAGGGTTTATTTCCAGCCAGAACTCACCATCTGACACCTCTCAGGTGGGTGCCATTGCCATCGAGAAAAATAGCACTGGGCTTAAGTATTTAAAGGCACACCTCGTTTCTTGCTTTGAGGGAGAGATTTATAACCTCCCTTTTCAGATGTTTCCAGGAATTGAGGTGTCTTGGGATACAAATGTACCACACCTTATTCTTTTCTTGCTTTAACCACTTGGGGACCCCCCCCCCCATTTAAGCAGAGAGGCTACCAGGCTGTGGGATGCCCCCTCCTCCTTGAGGTGTGTCTGACCCCATCATTGTGTGCATTTTGTGGGTTAGCCAAGGCACATCTTTTTGCACATTCCTTGGGGTGGAAGGTGAGTCCAATGCACCACTCCCTCCGCAGGGTTGTCTGTTGGTTTTGCCTGCTGTTTGACACAGTTTGGTGTTGCTACACACTGTGAATTGCTTGTTGTTTAAAACTGTGTGTCACCTGCCTGAAGACTTTGTGGTGAAGAGCAGACTATAAATGCATATAAATAAACGTCCTGCTTTTAGACTCTTCTAATATGGCTGCCTTGCATTCCATGTGGGCACCAAATGTTGCCATGCTCTACACACATGCGTACACACACACACATCCACAGTGGCATACTGAAACGCTAGAGTTGGCTTTGTGGGAGGCTTAGTGTGGGCAGCTGGTCAAGAGGAAGGACTCCCTTCCACTGCAATCCGTACCTCAGTTCTCTGTACTGCTGTTACTATGATTTATACCACTCTTACTTCAGGGAACTCATGGTCTTATTTTTCCTTTTAATAATTTCAATGGGGGGGACAAGATTTTTTTCCGCACCGGGTACCACCTGACCTTGCTATGCCACTGAGTGCGCCCCTCTCCTGAACATATATATTTCAAGTTTGCTCTTCACTTTTCACTTGTGGGCTTAATCACAAGAAGGGAACCTCTAAGTTTTGGAGGGTCGTTTGCCAAGCTGTCCTCCTCAGTGGGTCCATCTTCATGAGATAGCCAAGGCAGCTAATTCAGTTGTCATCACCCCCCCAAATTCACGGCAGCTCTACAGAGCATAAAAGCACTGCAACCCAGTTACTTAGTCTCCTTATTCTGCCCTAGCGTGAAAAGGCCACATGAGCTGCTTGTTTCCTGCTGCCAAACTCCTAAAATCCATCCCCTGGTCTGCAAGGGAGAGAAGGTGGGGCTAAGCGACGAGGTGGAGAAGGTAGTGAAATTCCACTGCATATATGTTTGTCCCAGGAAGCAAGAGATGGATGAGACCAGCTCTCTTTCAACAGGGGAGAATTGTTCTGGCACTCAAAAGAACCTGGCTCATTGGGTAGGAAGGAGGCAGGTCTGATTCAAGGAACCTCATGAGCAGTGCAGTTGTCAGGATAAGGTGGGGGGGTGGCCCCCTTGAGTATTCTTGGAGGAAAGTATGTGCATGTTTGGCACAGACTGCAGGGGATGTAGGACACCGGCTCTACGCTGATGGGGAACTGTTGTGAGGCCAGAGAGCACCTGGCTTACTGGGCAGGAAGAAGGCTTGTTTCTGATTCAAGAAGACTTCACAGCACCCCTTTTGAAAAGAGAGAACCATTTCTCTTTTCTTTTCTCCTTGTTTCATTAATCGGGTCACCTGATCCTGTGATTAAATTCCCAGTTAAGAAACCAAACCAGCCTTCAAAGCCAGGACAAGGAGAAGATAACCAGTCCTCAAAATCTCCCTGAAGCCTGATGAAAATGGTACCAGCACCACCTTCCTCATTGCGTCTGAAGTGAAAGCCTAGGACTGAGAGTCGGGGGGGGGCACTAGCTGCAGCTGGCCTCTATCAAATTATATTTTTATAACTGAATAATGTACTGGATGAGGGGTGGCCTAGAACTTTTAAAAATAAATAAAAACAAAATTGCTCAAACCGTTTAAAGTTATGAACATGTATATTAAGAGGAACAATGCCCCTGACAGAGGAAGGCTGCCAAAGTAAATGTGGCCTGTCCTCCATTGTGACTCTTTCCCCTGCTGGATAACTTGGCAGAGAACTTTGGTAAGAGCAACTATTTGAGGATTGCTAAGGAGGGAGTCATGGAAGAATGAAATATGTTTGCAGCAGCATTAAGGACAATTTCTTCTTCTGAAGTGCAGGTAGGATTTCTAATTCTTTCTGCATTCTGCTTCTATCGCTATCTGCCAAGATTTAGCAGTTTAGATGCTTCAAGGGAAATGGTTTGCATCATCACAAGAGGGGAATCAGGCAGTTTTGTAGGGTCTTCTGATAAGATGCCCTCCTCAATGGATCCAACTCCTTGCTGCCCTCTCCGTTAGAGATTCCTGGAGGCAAATTCAGCTGCCAGAGTATCAAGGAAGTGACTATAATCCCTTTTCTGATCTCCTCCTTGTTCTTCCTTAGGTTTCTGAGGCTGCACAGGCTGCTGGCCTCCTGTTGTCATGCCCCCCAAATCCACCCCCTGGTCTACAAGAAGGAAGGGGAGGCGGAGGACGTGATGGTTATGAAGGACAGGAAGGCAGCACCAGTAAAAGTCAGAGTCATCTATGTGTGCTCCAGTGATCAGGGGATGGATGACACCACCCCTGATTTGTAAGGCGAGAGATGACCTGTGTTCATGAGAAACTGTGAGGCCAGAGGCAGGTCTCTGATTCAAGAAGAGTTTAGGGACATCCTTTGTGAGTAAGAGAGAGCATCATTTGTTTTCTTCTATATTTTCTCATTGTTTCATTGATTTATCCTGTGAATATGTTCCAGGTTAAGAAACCACTCCAACATTCAAAGCTGACTTGGGGGACGGGAAGCTTTAAAATATTCCAGCATCCTGAAGCCTGATGAAAATACCGTATTTTTCGCTCCATAAGGCGCACCTAGTTTTCAGAGGAGAAAAACAGGGAAAAAATATTCTGAATCAAATGTCCTACTAAACTACTGGTATATCAGAGTGAGAGGGACAGGAGCTGTATGTTTGTTTAGTGTGCACACTCAAGGAGCCAGCGGATCAGCTGAGACACTGGGGGATTTGTGTAATTTTTCCCTCTCCCTCATCCCCTGCCCTCCAGACCCCAGCAGCCTTCCTATTTTACCTCCTGATTTTCACTGCGCTTGTGGCTCAGAGCTCGAGGTTGGGGTTTTTTTGCTGTGTAAAAGCGCTCCTCCTTGCAGCCTTCTACTTTGTTTGTACACATGGCTACTGGTATCAGGTTCAGTTTGAGTGATAAACAGCCACTGGCAGCAATAGAATGGAGCACAAAGAAGGGGTAGGGGCACTAGGACCCAGACAATGCTCAAATCTATCCTGCCTCAAAACAAGCTGCAGAAGTAAAAGGCAGTCTCCTGTCCCCAGAGGATCAGCTGAGACGCTGGGGGATTTGCATAATTTCCCCCTCTCCCTCATCCCCTGCCCTCCCCAGCCCTCCATATGGGGGGGGGGGAGTCTCCCTCAAATATTTAATGGGGGGGGGCGAAGGCACCTAGGCTTCTAGGGGTTGGCTGCTATGCCTAGGACAATTCAAGAAAGCAAAATGATGCATATGCTATAATATCAATAAACTTTTAGAGTGATACCGTAATTCTTTTTTTTACAGACTGTATGTTGGCTATGTTTACTATGATGCCATTAGTTTGTTTGGTCAGCACTGAGTGGTATGGTCAGCACTCAGTGGTAAACAATGGAGATACCGTACATTACTGACAGTTCCTTCATCACTGTATTTTCTTGCAGAAAACCTCCCCCATTCCGATAAGGATGATAAAGCGGAAAAGACTAGCATATAAGATTCCTTTTAAACTAGAGGTAGTAAAATATGCTAAGGAGAATGGAAACAGAGCAGCAGAGAGACATTTTAGGCCACCTCCAACTGAAAAAATGATAAGAAAGTGGAGGAAACAGGAGGATCAGCTGCAAAAAGCAGATAAAAGTAAGCACACTTTTCGTGGAAATGCTGCAAAGTGGTCACAGTTGGACGTGGCCATGAAAGAATGGATCACAAATCACCGGAATAATGGCTTCATAGTCTCTACAAAAATGATAATATATGAAGCCAAACGCATTGCTGCAGAGAAAGGCATTCACGAATTTACTGGATCACCATCACGGTGCTACAGATTTATGAAGCAGTAAGGCCTTGCTATGCGCACCAAAACTAGAATTGCACAAAAAATGCCAGAAGAATATGAATCTAAGATTCTGTCTTTTCATAAATTTGTAACTGATGCTAGGAAGACAAATGGATTTGAAATTGGCCAGATTAGGAATATGGATGAAGTCCCACTAACCTTTGCTGTGCCATCTAATAGGTTGATCTGAAAGGTGCCAAAACTATCATCGTGAAAACCTCCAGACATGAGAAAACCCATTACACAGTTGTGTTATCTTGCTGTGCAGATGGCACCAAATTGCCACCCATGTTAATTTTCAAAAGAAAAACATTTCCAAAAGAAATGATTCCACGAGGAATTGTTGTACATGTTCATGAGAAAGGATGGATGGACGAAAATGGAATGAGAGCATGGGTTGAAAAAGTGTGGTCCAAACGTCCTGGAGGGTTTTTGAAAAAACCTGCCTTATTAATACTAACCAGTTTAGAGCACATATTAGCTGCTGGTAATCATGATCTGAAACCTACTGGACGAATGAAGAGGCCCACTATCACTCAGGTTTGTGAATGGGTGAGAACATCATGGCACTCGGTGAAGGAGGAAATCGTTGTCCAGTCATTCAAAAAATGTGGCATTAGCAATGCTTTGGATGGAAACGAAGATGGTATTTTATATGAAGATAGCGAAGAAAGTGATGTCAGTGATTATGAGCAACTGAGCTTCATAAATTCTGACTCTAGCACTGATGAGTTCTTGGGGTTCACAGAAGACTAGAAGAGTACTCAAACCTTAAAGTCTCTCTTCATTTGTTAATGACAGTGATGATGGTTCTTTATGCCACTGTTGACTGCTGTTCACTTTACATGGTTGTAATATGATTCTGATATTTATTAAATAGTTTATTAAATAGTTTAGTACATTTGATTCAGAATATTTTTTTCTTGTTTTCCCCCTCTAAAAACTAGGTGCGTCTTACGGTCGGGTGCGTCTTATAGAGCAAAAATACGGTAAGTTTACAGCCTATCACTTCTCAGACACACTGCATGCATCTATAAATGCTCTTATCACTCAAGTTGTATTAATTACAGGCAACTCCTCACTTGCGCATGATATACTTGTGCACAACTGCGCCCATGAGTGGCACCGTGAACCCAGAGGCGGCGGAAGAGAGCTTGACAGTCCTCCAGACTTGCCAGGATATCCTCCCCAGGGGTGCTCAGCCTCCCAGACTAACAACTGATATGTGGGGTAGAACAGCAGCCGCTTTCCCACGCATCAGCTGTTAGGCAGGGAGGCTCAGCAGCCCGCCTGCTGTGCCTCCAAACTCTTTGGTGTTCTCTTTAGGCTCTGGGGAGGGTCTCCTTGCAAGCCATGAGGACTTGGGGCCCCGGAACATCCCCGGTGTAAGTGGGGCGTCACCTGTGTATTATATCAGGAAACGACGGGGAAATGTGGGTGGGGTACACTGATACCTCCCCTGAATTTTACCTGTCTTGACCTGTATCTCGAAAAGAATACAAACAGCTACTTAACAATGCTCTCCCCATTTCTAATGTATTAGTTCACAATTAATTGCTCTCCATTCCAGGAGTGCTGCTGCCCCACAAGAGAGCCCAACTGCCAGGGCAGCAGACACCCAGCCCCTCCCCACCATGCTTGGATTGCTGCATTCCACTCCTGGTATTTTACAGTCAAACACAAACAAAAACCAGTTTGCCAACCTTGATAAGCAGCAACAATAAATACATGTGCAGTTTCGCATTTTGAACTTTCTCTTTTGCTCACTTCAATGTTTTGTTTTGCTATGGGATGACAACTGGATAAGACGAGAGAAGCTGGGTATCAGAATGAAGAGAATGACTGATTGAAGGGTAGAACAGGGCAGTTCTGAGTAATCTTCCAGGAGACGACATGATCCCAATGGAGATTTATAAAATAAGACCTGATTTCTGGTCACCCATTTTTGCAAAACTGTTTTCACACATTAACAACTCAGGATGCATACCGGAAGGGTGGAAGCTGAGTATAATTGCCCCAATATATAAAAAGGGTGATAAGAAAAACCCTGCCAATCATAGAGCCATTAGTTAGATGTAGCCTCTAAACTATATGCCAGGCTCCTTCTTGGGAGACTGGAAGAATGGGCAGACACAAATAAGGTGATATCTGAAGTCCAGGCAGGTTTCCAAAGAGGGAAATCCACATTGGACCAGTGCTTTGTGATGAACTTTCTGCTATGTAAATACATACATAATTTGAAGCAAAAATTATGTCGCTTTTATCGACCTAAAGTCAGCTTTCAGCTAAAAGATTGAAAAAAGTATTAGCAGAGGTGATACATAAAGACCAGGCTGGTTTTCTCCCTGGTAGACATCTTTCTGACAATATGAGGAATGTAATTAACATTTTGGAAAAGCTACAAGTGAATATTAACACAAAAGCAGTCTTGATATTTGTAGATGCGGAGAAAGCCTTTGACAACATTTCTTGGAGTTTTATGAAGAAAAATCTTGAGGGGATGGGGGTTGGACAAAACTTTGAAAACGGTATAGGTGTGATTTATTCTGAACAAAAGGCTAAATTGATAGTCAATAATGTGGTGACAGAGGAATTTAAAATTGAGAATGGGACACAACAAGGCTGCCCAATTTCCCCATTGCTTTTTATCTCGGTTCTGGAGGTTCTGCTAAACATGATTAGAGGGGACCACCTGATTCAAGGTATCCAGGTCGGAGTTAAACAATATAAACTTAAAGCTTTTGCAGATGACCTAGTATTGACATTACAGGAGCCAGTATCTAGCACCAAGAGGGCTCTAGAATTAATCCAGGAATTTGGTCAAGAGAGGTTTCAGAAGGAGACAGACTTAATATTAGTAAAGAAGGTAAAATACCTGGGGGTGAACATGACTTCTAAGAATGTGAACTTATTTAAAGATAACTATGAGAAATGCTGGTCAGAAGTGAAAAAAGATCTAGAAATTTGGACGAATTTGAAGCTTTCCATGCTTGGTCGAATTGCTGTTATTAAGATGAATGTATTGCCAAGAATGCTGTTTTTATTTCAATCATTGCAAATTATTGATAAAATGGACTGTTTCAAGAAGTGGCAAAGAGATATTTCTAGATTTGTCTGGCAGGGCAAAAAGCCCAGAATTAAATTTAAGATACTTACTGATGCTAAAGACAGAGGGGGGTTTGCTCTGCCGGATCTTAAACTTTATTATGAATCAGCAGCTTTTTGCTGGTTGAAGGAATGGCTGCCTCTTGAGAACACAGACATTTTAGATCTCGAAGGTTATGATAATGTATTCGGGTGGCATGCATATTTGTGGTATGGCAAGGTTAAAGCGCATAAGGCATTTAAAAACCATATTGTCAGGAAAGCACTGTTTAATGTCTGGATAAGGTACAAAGACTTTTTGGAGAGTAAAACCCCAAGGTGGCTATCACCTATGGAAGCGATAGCTTTGAAAAAGCTTGATATGGAGGCCAAATGGCCAAAATATTGGGAAATTTTGGAACAGGAAGGTGACAAATTGAAATTGCAGAGTTACGAGAAACTTAAAGAAAAGGTGCGAGACTGGCTACACTATTTTCAAATAAGAGAGATTTATAATTTGGATTAAAAAATTGGTTTCCAGGTGGAAAAATCAAAATTAGAAACAGAATTATTAGAACCCAATGCTAAGACACTATCAAGAATGTATAATTTGCTGTTGAAATGGAACACTGAGGAAGAAACGGTAAAATCTGCTATGATAAAATGG